TGGGGAGTCCTCCAGTGCGTTTGATTGGTTGAATGTTGTGGGCGTGTTGAGCTCTGAGAAGCAGAAACTGGAGGACATCCCTCTACCATCGAAACCCCCGAACTCACCAAACTCATCCTCCTCTTCTTCCTCTCCAGCCTCATCCAGTGGAGGAGGAGAGGAAGAGTACAGATGGATGACATCGGGCTCCATGGTCCTCTTGCGCCACCTGTGGCCACATGCACGCACACCCCTAGAGAAAAAGAAATAAAATAAGACGGAAAGACAATTACAAAAAACTTGAGAATGTTGAGACATGAATTTAAAATTAAAATTACTTTAACTATCAACTCTTTTCAATTAGCATCATGTTTCTTTTCCTCATCTGAATTTACTACATATTTAATACTTATAATAGTGCACTGCTTGGCAGTTAGGTCTTGTAGTATAGTTTATGACTGAGCAGTGCACTAAAAGCAGGAATAATACAAAAGTTTAAAAAAACATGTGAAAGGCTTCAGGCTAAAGTAGTCAGCACTGCTGGATCAGAGAGCAGCCCATTCATTATTTACCAGCACTTTAGATGTGACCCCTCTTTCATGGGCTAAATCTAGGGCACGGTTTAAAGAAAGCTGCAAAGAGTAACAACACTTTTTAGCTTGTGCATGAGCAGTGAAATGACTTGCAATTATTGTTTTTGTTTAAAGATTTATTTTTGGCGTTTTTGCCTTTATTATGATAGGACAGTGTAGAGCTGACAGGAAGCGAAGTGGGAGAGAGAGACAGAGGGGGACGGGATCGGGAAAGGTCCACGAACCGGGACTCGAACTCGGGACGCCCGAAGTGCAATGACGCTGTATGTCGGCACGCTGGCCACGAAGCGATCGGCACTAACATAACTTGCAATTATTGACTAGTCCTCAAACCTCAAAGGATCTGACAGGTCTCACATGATGGTTAAAGTATACAGCTACTAATATTTAACCGATTGTCTGCAGACTCATAAACCTGGTGTAAAATACAACGGTGGTGCAATGAGGAAAATCAATAATAGTGGTCATATGCAAATTCACTTTACATTAGTTTCAAGTAGGTTCATGTTTCCTTGTTTATGAAAGTGTCTAACACAGTCACCATTGTGAAAGTGAAAGCAAGTTGCAAAAATCTGTACTGTTTTACACAGTTAGCTGATCTACACTCAGTTTAAACAAAACTATAATCAGGTGACAGCTGGATAACAATTCTAGAACTCAAGATTAGTGTTTCAAACAGTTGAGAGGTCAGTTGCCAACTCCTTTTGCCTTCTTTTGTTCTGTTTTACATAACAGTTCCAATGACAAAGGCCTGTATCAGCATCATGGATGAGGCATGATGATCTAATGGACACTGTTAGTAATCTGACTTGAGGAAAAACTAAATTAGGTCACACAGTAACCTACATTCTATACACTACATTCAAACATTTGAGGCCCATAAGTCTCATATGCTCAAAGAGAATACATTTATTTGATAAAAAGCACAGAAATATTGTGAAATATAATTACAATTTTAAAACTATTTTCTATTTAAATTTTTTTTTTTTAAATGTAATTTATTTTTTGTGATGGCAAAGATGAATTTTTAGCAGTCTTTACTCCAGTCTTCAATGCCACATGATCCTTCAGAATATGCTGATTTGGTGCTCAAGAAATATTTCTTATTATCAAATTTTAAAACGCTTGTTTTGCTTAATATTTTTGTGGAAACCTTGATACATTTGTTCAGGGCTCTTTGATGAATAGATACAGTTGTTTGAAAAAGAAATAATTCGAAATATTTTGCCATCACTTTTGATCAATTTAATTCATCCTTGCTGAATGAAAGCATTAATTTCTTTCCCAATAAACAAAAAAAAAAAAACTCAAATAACTAAATAAATAAACCTTACTGACCCCAAACTTTTAAACAGTAGCATATACTGCGGTTTGAGTGTGTGTGTGTGTGTGTGTGTGTGTGTGTGTGTTTGTGTGTGAGACGTCATGTTTTTCTGCTCACTCATAACTAAAAGTAAATTGCACAGATGCTCTTTGATTCTGGAAAACGACAGTGTGCAAATCTTCCTAGAAGTCAGTTACACAAGCACACTGTAGAATTTGGGCACTTATGATTTGAAATATTTTGCCTACTAGCCCACATACTAGAGTACTTAGTTTGCCTCATGCAAACAGACACGCTCATATACACATGCACACTGTGTAAACGTTGATATGTCCTCTTTGAAGGGAGTGTAAACTGATGAGGAAACCCAATCCACTTCCTTTGTGCCCTCAGACAAACAGCACAGACTCAGAGCCGGAGACCAAACACTGAAGGACAAAAACTTCATCCATTTAGAATTCCAAACATTAAGAAACAAGATTTTGCCTAATCCAACATTAAAAAGAACTTTCGATTGAAAACATCTAGAATAGTATTGTCCAGCACAATTCACAAAACTAGTTTAGAGGGTATTTTTCTACCCCCATGAAAGACAGCTGAAGTGGTCATACCTGTGATTAACTAGTCTATGCTTGTTTGAAACAGAAACATTTAAAATTACGCTGAAAATAAGGATGTTCAAAAAGTCATTCAAAGTATGAACCTATTACAGGGTCCCAAGACCAATGAATTTCCAGGACTTTTTCAGTCATTTTTAGAACGTTCCATAGGTAATACACTCACAAAAAATAATTTCTTACATAAATAGTAAACAATTACATTCACTGTAGAATTTTTTAGACTTTTTAAATAATGGTTAAGAAATCATTAATACCCATGACTGAAATCTGAAAATAAAGGTTGTCCATGACAGTGGGAATCCTACTTTATTACATAATTTTTTTAACTTTTTGTTTGTTTGTTCCTTTTACAGTAATTCCAGTGAAAACAGACCTTAATAGTAAAGGCTGGAATACTTTGCACGACTTTTAAAATCTGAGCCACTCATTATACACTTGCTGACTTAAATGGTTACAGAGAAAAACTGGGCATCATGCACTAAACATCATAAAACTCACATAGAAAAACACGTACCTTGTTGCTATATGCATGACATGCACTACGACATGTGTTCTAAAATCCGCTCAAACATGTCTGAAATCCTTAAACTGGACTTAATTCTATCATACACTATGCGATCATACACTATCTGTGAAACCTGCCTACTTGTCAACTTGTGTAGTCAACTCCAGCCTGAAGGTAAGTTCTTCCACACAAGACAATCATTTCTTTATGGACTCTTCAAACTGGTTGCAACAACATTAAAAGCACACAATTCTCCAGAATGGTATTATATGCTGTAGCAGTAACACTTGTCCTCACAAAAATCACTGGAATAGCCAAAACCATTCATTAGATTATCCATATAATTTTAGCAATATAATTGTAGGACTGTGCCATACGGGAGTAACCCAAGAAGTGTTTTGACTGAAATATGTATGAGTAGAAGACAAATTAGGCAATGCATAAGTGACTGTTTATAAATATACTGCCAATGACAAGACTCCTGGGTAATGCTACAGGGTAGACAACTGATATCTAGATTCTAGATACTACAATAATGCAAATCAGGTGTCTTTCGCCCTCCTGTTACTAAATACAGAGAAATAAACATTATATAATAAATAACATTATAAATAAACATTAAATATGGATTTTTAAAATTGCATAGGTTATATATTAAAAAGTGTTTTTCTTCTGTGGAACACAAAAAGAGCTGTTAATCAGATAGGGGGGAAAATTCAATAAAGGTAAAAAATGACAACCTGACAGCCACTATTTAGGTTCATCGCATCTTTTGATACAATGCCAGTGAATGGACTGAGACTGACATTCTGCCTTGACATTCAGCTTTTGTATTCCATGAAAGTCATAAGGTTTGAAACAATGAGTGTGAAAAGAAATATGACAACGCTTTCATTTTTAGATAAAATATTCCTTTAACGTGCACTCGACTAGAGGAAGTGTTTTTGCGCGAGCTGTCACATCTGTTCTGGCAATACGGCACGAGACTGTCATCAGCTGGTGTGGTTTCTAATCCACCTCAGAATATCATTTATCAGGACTAAGCTACAAGAGTAATAATAAAGTAAGTAATACCATCGACGCTGTCATCGAATTGTTTATGAGACGCTCATGTCCTGCGATCGAAGTGGTGTGACAACAGCGAATGCAGCACTTTATACTTACCTTGACTTATCCGCTATGGATGATCATGACGGCCACTGAACCTGTTCAGCGAGAAGACAAGTATCGTCTCGTCTCGTCTAGGTAAAGTTAAACCGGCTCTCACTGCCAGTTTCTACGATCATCCGGAGTTCCGTGTCCAACAACATGAAACCGGAGAGCCAGACCTTTATTAACACTCTGCCAGATCACATTCAGTGATCTACCGACCCCTGTCGGTACGGAGCAGGTGCAACCCGACACGAGAGAACAATGAATATGTTGCATAGACTGTATAAAAACAGGATATGTTGTTAAAAAAAACGAAATAAAAAAAAATTCCTTTGTTATAAAAGAATAATACAGAATCGTATATGTAAGTTATAGCGAATGTCTGGACTCAAACCCAAAGTGTTGTGTCCCATAACTTAAAAAAAGAAAAGAAAAAGAAAACAGAAAGTATGTTTTTATGTTTTATTATTATGAGCTTACCATGAAAATTAACTAGTTAATGCATGTGCATTAATGCATGGGGATACCATAGCCCCCGTTAAAATGGTAGGACTATTTTTTGCCTGTCAAAATGCATCTCATTGTTGTAAAATCATTTTGAACAAATATAAATCACCAGAAATATAACATTTATTTTGTGTATAACCCGGTTTTTTTTTTTTTTTAAGTTATATTACTCAAAATTGTAAACCCTGTTAATGATGGAATATTTTTCTCTAATGTATAATAAACAAGTCTAGAAGTAGTTTGGGTTATTATGAAAGTCTACATGAGCCTACTTGACAGTCACTGTGATTTAAGGTGATTTCCACAACAACAGATAGGTGATGGGGATGTTGAAAGTAAAATTTTATTAAACCGCTGTCAGGAAATGAATTGAATGAGTCATAGTATATGAATGAATTAAAAAATACACCAACTGGCTAAACTCCACAATTGGAATAAAGAAAGGGGTGTGATATTTAAAAGTGGAAAGCGGGAGGGGTGACACTTACAAAAAACTGAGCTATACAATCATTGTTTAGCAACGGATAAGAAAAAAAAGACTGATAATTGTTCTGAATAGAAGCAGTTCAGATGGGGCTGCTGTCATCTCGGCTTTGTTGCTTTGTCCAATAGATTCTTATTTTGACTCCTGGAACGCTGCCTCCTGATCATTTTTATTTTTGCAAGACACAGAAGACTTTTCTCTACCACATTACTCGTAAGATAAATAAATAAATAACAAAATAAAATAATAATAAAAAGAACAAATATATGTATTATTACTTAAATATATTATAATTAACTAACAAACATTTGGCCTCAAACTTTCTAGCTCCTACTAAATTCACTCATTCTGGGTAAAATAAAATTATGTTTTAGAGGATTTACTACTAAACAAATCAAACTGCTGTTTTTATTTTGATGACCATTTTATAAGTAGTAGCCTAGTAGCAGTAGTAGCCTAGTAGATAGATAGATAGATAGATAGACAGACAGACAGACAGACAGACAGACAGACAGACAGACAGATAGATCGATAGATAGATAGACATCTAAAATCACAAACTCACAGAAAATCACTACATTGCTAATTTTTAGAATTTGCTTGAGGAATTTAGTCTATTTCAAGCCATCCTTTTTAATAAAAAACACCTTCTGTAGTAATCCACCTGTATTTATGAAAAACAAAATACAGGTGGGGGGTGTCAACGTGTTGTGTGAGAATAAACGTTGCAGAGGGAGTCCCTCTCTTCAGTCCCACCTGGAGCAGGAGGCCCTTCACCGTCACATGACTGCACGTGTGCGTACGCGCCGTGGATGCCAGTGAACATGGCGGATGAGAACGCAGAAGCGGAGCTCGACTTGAGGGGCCGACAGAGCCTGCTGCTCGACGAGGACACATTTTTCGCCATGGAGGGTATGCAAGCCACCTTTCAGCAATTCGAAGCCGCGCTTCGGCAGGAAGACGTTTCTGAAGAATCGTCCACGGAGTATTGCAATAACTTCTGCGAGGTACGCGCCGCCGAAAACGCAGCATGCATGCGAATTGTTTATATGCAACGTTTCAGAGTTGTGTTGGCTCGCGTTAGCTGACCAAGATGCAAGTTGTGGCCGCATGCGTGGATGTTATCTGAACGTGTGGGCCGTTTAGTGAGCCATGCAAACGCAAAACTATCACTAGCCAAATGTGTTGGCAAGCACGCCCGATAACCAGGCAATTTTGAGACGTTGCAAGCTTTAAGTTGGCAATTTCAAGTAGCAAGCTGGTTGTGGTAGCTAGCTGATACTGTATAGCGTGTTGCACGGCTTCCCGTTGCCCTCAGTTTATGCGGCGGATATAAGCTTGAGTTTAAAATTGTGTATCTGTGGTCTGTAAAATCACATATTCGTGATTCGGCTCAGACGGCCTGTTTGGAACGGTATTTCCATGCATTATTGGAACAGGTATATCTTGAACGGGGTCCAGCGCGTTAGTGGGGTGGGGCTCGGTTGTGTTTATCTCATGCGTGTACTAGGTCTCTACTAACTTTATGACACTCTGTCACGTGTCACTTCTAATCAACCTTGGGAGTGTTTGAGTCCAAACTCAGACCCATTTTAAGAGACCCAGTTCTCTTTGCATTCACACTCAGATCTATTTTTAGTTATGATTGGGTTTAATTTCCATTCACACCATGTTGTTTTTGTGGAACCAGCCCACCTTGAGTATAATTGTTATATAGTATTGATGATTAGGGCTGTTTTTAATGTTAGAGTAATTGTACTTCCCGTCAAAGTTAACAGCCAGTGAACAGTACTTGTGTTCAGTAAAATTTTTGGCCACACTAAAACATTATTGGTTTAATTCAGCTACACATAATACATATATGTAGAGACTAATTTTAGCCCTATTATGTTCATCTTTTTACTACAAAAGAGATTAATCATATTTTTTAAATCTACTGTACTGTAACTTTAATTCACAGTCCTGTTGAACCCTCAAGCCTTCATTTTGTCTGCTTAAGGAAGCACATTGAGTTGCATTTGACTGAAATAGTACAATAGTTTTTTTACTCTATCGTTCCAAAGTTTAGAGTAAGCAATCATTTTTAATTTTGAAAGAAATGAGTACTTTTATTCAGCAAGGCACATTAAACTGATCAAAATTTACAGTAAAGACATTTACACTGTTACAAAAGATTTCTATTTCAAATAAATTCAATAAATTCCATTCTTATATTTATCAAAGAATCCTGAAAAACACAAAAATGGTAAGCAGCACAACTGTTTTCAACACTGATGGTAAATGTTTCTGTGTGCCAAATCAGCATATTAGAATGATTTCTGAAGGATCTTGTGGCACTGAAGACTGCAGTAATGGCTGCTGAAAATTCAGATTTGCCATCACAGGAATAAATTACTTTAAATTTAAAAATATTAGAATAGTAAACAGTTATTTTAAATTGTTACAATATTGCTATTTTACTGTCTTATGATCAGCCTTGGTGAGCATAAGAGACTTGAAAAATTTAATGACCCTAAACTTTTTAACATTAGTGTATATGCTCCTTGTTCTGTCATATTCATGGAAGCTCCACCATGTGTCACTGTTAATATTGTACAGTAACAGCAGAATTGTTTGATATAATGCTTAAGTGAAACAAGAGAGTGCGCTGTGTTCCAATTTGTGTTATAAACAAACCATACTACCACCGAACTGGCCTCTATTTGATTCATTTTAAAGTGGTCCTTGAAAGTTTGGAATATTTGCATGTATATCACAATTCAATGTGAACTGCTTTCAGACTCCTGAAACTAACTTTGTTTAGCACAAACAATCTGGTCTGAGAGGTCTCTGATCCCTATATAAATTCTATAAAGAAATGTCAACTTTTTCAGGAATGTTAAGTGTGGGGCCTCTTTTCATTTTGTGTTTTTATTAAGGACATTTTTTTTGCAATGTAACTTTGTTAAAATTATTATGCATTGTACATCCCATCATTGTTAAAGATTAATAACTGTTATTTGTGACAACACACATCAATTATACGAAGACAATTTGTATGTCTCCATAACACCATAATGCTTGTCTTTCAGTGTTGGTGCTGCACTTGTAATTTGGTCGTAACAAGCACATCCCAGTGGGACAACAGTATCCCGTTGGGAACCTAAAGGCCCCATTTAGGTTTACCAGACAACATTTAAAACCTCAGCTCTGCCTCTTTTTCCTGAGCATCGATGTTGCCGTGGCAACCACTCCAGCCAGACTTAATCCTGACAGATGTCATATGCCACACACTACCTGTCTGCCTTAGAAGATATTTGATAATTTACTAAAAATTGTATTAATAAACTGGTTTTCACTTTTCATGTGTGCATCATGGGTTCTTCTTTCTGAATGAAATCTTAACCCATGGACAGATGTTTGTGAAGCGGGAAGGAGTTCTAAGTTTTCACCAGAGCAGCCATGTTTTGGTTGAAAACAAGTTGGAACAAGTTTGCTGCTTGCTATAAACCTTGAACTGCTACTGATATCTCTTTGTTTTGTGGTTAAAATACACTATATGACCTGTGGAAAAGGCTTGTTTTAATGCAGGCTGATGGTTAACAAGTACATTAGTTTGAACCCAATAAGGTCAATAGTACAGTCTTGTGAAACTGCAGATTGCAATGTCTTACGTTGTGCTTTTATTTTTTTAGACTATATCTTGACAATAAATATTCTTTACTCAAGATAGTGAAAGTCTCAGAAGGAAGCACCCAGCTGCTCTGAGGTGAATCTGGTTAACAGGGCTATACCCAGTTACCCAGAGGAAGCTCTCCTAATCTTAGTTTTATAGGTTAAATATGGCATGACATTTCCTCTCTCTTTCACTATAATAAGATATCAGCTGGGATTTAACATCCTCGAGGCTTGAGGTTTGCGAACGGGGAGTTTGCATGTTTATATGAGGTTATCTGGAGTTGCTCTGTGCTGTAGTTACATCTGCTTCCATCTCTAAGGTCCAATCAGTGCGCCTCAGCACAGATGGAGTTCTGTGGAAGTGATGTATCAGGGGTTTCTCCTCACATCCTCCCTTGTGTGGACCTGTAGGTTTGCGGTAGAGACAGCATGCTAACGTGTTAGAGCCAGGCTCTGTGCAGAAGCCAGGCCTCATCCACCTTTGTCTTGTTTATTGAGCATAATACACTACCGCTCAGAAGTTTAGGGTTGGGAAGATTTTTAAAATGTTTTTGCCCGAAGTCTCTTATGCTCACCAAAGCTGCATTTATTTGATCAAAATGCAGTAAAACAATAATGTTGTGAATATTAATACAATTTAATGAATACAATTTAAAATAACTGTAAAAATGTAACTTTCGTCCTGTGATGGCAAAGCTGAACTCCAGTCTTCAGAGTCACATGATCCTTCAGAAATCATTCTAATATTCTGATTTGGTGGTTAAGAATTTCTTCTTATCAATATTGTAAACAGTTGTTCTGCTTAATATTTTTGTGGAAACTCCGATACATTTTCACTGTTCTATGATTAATAGAAAGTTTTGTAACATCTTGTGTTCATCTTTTGTAACATTTTTTTAACTTTTACATTTGAAAAATTAAATGCGTCCTTTTGAATAAAAGCTTTATTAATTTTTTTCCAAAAAAAGAAAATCATACTGACCCTAAACTTTTGAACGGTAGTGTTCATCTGCACAGAATTTGTAAAATGGTTAGGGTACACACCCTTTTTTTGTTGTTAGTGTATTTTAATACATGTCGGACCTCTGAAGAGCAGTAAATTGCACTTGACTCTCAAATAAAAGCACAGGAGATCATATCTGTGTGGTGTTAAAATGGCTTAATGATTTTTTATGATCTTGTTCATTTCACTTATTCTTGTAGGCTCTAATGGATTACGCTGGAAGCAGGAATTCAGTGGAACACGGATTGCCTCTTTTGGAGGTCTACTGTCTGTCAATCAACTGTTTTGCTGCTGCCAGGCCGCATCTCACAGGCGACTCCCCAAATGTTGCCCTTGTGCTCAAAAGACTTGCATTGTAAGTGCTATTTTTAGGATGCTAATATATAAAGGTATAAAATTCATATCCATAATTTATGTCTGCCAGTATTTAATTCTATTCACAAACATTTAGAACCAGTTAAAATTCTGTCCAGTTCTGTCCAGATTGATTTTTTTTTTTCTCTAAATGTGATCATCTGCAGGAGTTGCCTTGAATTGTTGTTATCAGTGCCTCAAAATGAAATCCCTTTGGAAGCATGGCTGCAGTTCCATGGTTCAGTTCAGGTAAGATCAGATTATTTGGTTTTATTGTGCCAAGTTGAATTTATAGATCAAAAGTTAAATTTTTACTGAACAAAAGAGGCAAAACGAAATTTTCTGGATCCTAAAAGATAGAAATTCTAATTGTGGAGATTAGGGGAATCTTTTTTTAGAGGTCAAACCATAATTGCCAGGCCCCCTATTGTCGCAGATGATAGACAGTTTGTACTGGTGTTCGAGGACATTAGACAGGCTTATACTCTTGGTGTATTAAACAGAAAGAGGGACATGCTACAGAAACAGAAAGAGGGAAATAGCGATTCCCAATGTGAAATTCAAGTTACAATCATCAAATACTGAAAAAAAAAAAAACTAGTGGCGTCAGTGTCTGTTTGGTGGACACTAGCTGGAAGCAGTATGTAGATTTATATTTAAAAAAAAAAAAATTTCTTTTCATGGTGTGGTTTTAATTTTTGTACAGGCGGCCCATGAGGCCATGCTGCAGTATGGCAGTACAGATTTGCATGCCCTGCTGAACATCACAGGTGAAGGCGGAGCTTGGAATAATCCTGTCCTGGTCTCACTTCTTACCGGCCAGTCAACAGACCCAGATGAAGGTGAGTAGCAGCACATTAATATTGCTCATTATGCCCACAATAAGTGTAAACAAACTCAGCATGTCACTGCTTTCATATAGAGAGTGATTGAACCTTTTGTTGTTGGTTTAATCAGCTATGTGGACAGGCTGACATTTTATTTTAATATATCTGAAGTTTTGCCAGATAATGTATGTGATATCTAAAGTCAGACCTTAAGACAGTGTTGATATCTGCTGTTAGACACAGTCAGCTGTTTACTTATCATTGTCTTCCTCTGGAACAGTGAATGCCTATCTTGCTTTGGAGGGAGAAGGTTTCATGGAAATGCGGATCAAACACCTGGAGAAAGTAGGGGAGGTAGAGAAAGCGCTGATCCTCAACAAAGCCTGTGCTAACTGTAGCCTCCTGCCTAACCAGTCTACTTTTCGCCAAACGTTTGTCGCCCAACTGTGCCAGCAGCTGCCTAGTGAGGAAGCAATTTTAGAGGTAAAGTTCCCAGTTTTCTTTAATGATTGACTCATAATCACACATGTTTTGTTAATACACTAAATTCTTTTACTATATCTCCCTTGCTCTATAAGATTTCTAGAATAGATGCAAAAGATGTCCTGGACATTATTTGCAACATGGATGCTGAGGGGGAAGAGAGCACAGCCTTCATTCTGTGCACCACGTATTTTACACAGCAGCTACAGCAGGACAACTTGGACTGTTCCTGGTGAGGACCTGTTATAATCAAAATACACTGGACTTTCTTTATACTTGTATTTAGCTTTGTTCACTTGTGAATGGATCACTGGAGATAATGCTAATACCATGTGTAAATGAGATCTAGATTTCCATGTGAATGCCATCTCTAATGAAGTTTATTTTTCCCTGTGGTGTTTGTCAGGGAGTTAACCCTCCTTTGGAGCAAACTGCAGAGGAGAATTGATGTGTCCCTTGAATCATTTATTGAACGGTGCCTCCAGTTTGGAGCCATTGCCAGGACTATCTACCATCTCCTTTTCCTCATTCGTGTAATTCAGACAGAGGTGAATAGACCCGTTTCCTCCCTTGTTATGTGGTTATTTCTTTTAATGTATGCTCAGCTGTTCCTGACGTTTTGTCTATTGTATTTTGTCAGGCAATGCAGCTTGGCCTAGCAGTTTCAGTTGAATTGTGCGTGAAGGCTCTTCGGCTTCCAAATCAAGATGTAGACTCTAAAACAATGGTCTGCAAAGCTGTTGCCTGGCTCCTCCCTGATGATCTGGAGGTTATACGGGCTTGTCAGCTCACAGAATTCCTCTTATGTCCTGTTCAGGAAGCCTTTGATGTCCTTGAGGGGCTCTACACACGTCCTGATCAAAAATATGACGAGGAAAATGCCATTATCCCAAATTCCCTGCGTTGCGAGCTGCTACTTTCTCTGAAAGCACATTGGCCCTTTGACCCTGAATTCTGGGACTGGAAGACATTGAAGCGCTCCTGCATTCAGTTACTGGGACTGGAACCTGAGGAAGAAGTAGAGGATGAAGCAGTACCTGAGGAGCTGTGTAATGTTGGAGGAGTTTTAAATGAAGAGGCTGTGAAGGAGGAAGAAGGTGATTCTGAGATTAATGTATTTAGCAGCACTGAGCAAGAGCAGACAGTGGAAAGGAAAGAAACCGAAAAGGAGCAAAAAGACTCGGAAGATGTCTCTAAGAGATCTGACAAGCATGAGAAGAATAAATTTGTCTGTCAGATATGCCAGAAAGAAGTGGTTGAGACACGAATCTGTCAGCATGCCAGAAAACACATGGAAGATGATGTGTGGTCATGCCCTGTGTGTCTACAAAAGTTTAAAAGTAAAAAGGAGTTTGAGCCACACTGCAAAAAACACATTCAGATTCCTGCAGAGGGTCACTGGAAAAAGAAAAAAGTGAAGAAGGTGGACCCAAAACAATATTTCAAGGAGGATAGTTTTGATGAGTTAGAGCCAGGTCAAATTCCTTTGGACCCTTCTCTTGCCATGTACTATCAGTCCACCCATGACCCTGTTGTATTAGAACATATATTAAAGAAAGCTGCCAGTGTGCCTGATAAGGAAGTAGAAAATGACTATATTACATTTGACTACATTAAAACACACTATAAGTTACAGAATCGTGATGTTTACCAGTGTCCAGCCAGTAACTGCTCAAGGAATTTTAAACTTTTCAAATATTTGGGTGTGCACATCAAAAATGAACATGATAGTGAAGATCCCAGTCTGAAACATTATCTGGAAATGAAAGACCGTCGGGAGAAGTGCACTTTCTGCCGGAAGACCTTCATGACTGCCTATCACCATCGCCAGCACCGCTGGGTCCATTATGGAGATCATCCCTACAAGTGTGTGGTCACAGGTTGCGGTGCCCGTTTTGACACCACCAATGAACTTATATCACATAAGCATAGTCATGGGTTCCGTTTGTCCTATGGCTGTGAGCTGAAAGGCTGCAGTTTCTCCTATTGTGACCTTGGGCAGCTCTACCACCATGAGGCGCAGCACTTCCGCGATGCTGCTTACACTTGCACCAGCCCAGGGTGCAAGAACTTTTTCTACTCTCGCAAAGAATTTCTTCAGCACTTGGCAACCCATGGCATCACCTTTACAGAGAAAGACTTTGAGAGACAGAGAAAAACGAAAAGAAAACTCTTGGTCCCAGTTATGGAAAGCTCTGGGTCAAAAGTAGAAGTAGAGAATGGCATCACAAAAGGTTCAAGTTCTTCACAGCTCTTGGCCAACGGTGAATCTAAGGTCTCGTTGACATGTGTTGCTGTCTGCTTTGATGGTAGAACATTTACATGTGGCTTAAAAAGTTGTGGAAGGACATTTACTACCGCAAGAGAACTTCAGAAGCACTTGAGAATTGCTCATCCAGATGAATTAATTGAGGAGGATCAATTATGCAAGAAGAAAGTACAAGCAAAGCATTCTAAGACTCAAGCCAAAGAATTGCAAAAAAGTGGTCAGGATAACACTTTAAGAAGGTCATCTACAGAGGAATCTAATCACGAAAAGGCTCCCTCACCGGCTCCCGAGTCCATAGATTGTGACGCAACACTTTCAAACGTGGAACTTGGTGTAGCACTAACTGAGATCATGCTTGGATTGAATCAACTAAGCCTTGATACTCCCAGCACCAGATATGCTATGCGTAATTCACAGAGCACTTGTACACCCACCTTGAAAGCAAGGTCACCTGCCAAAGCAGCGAACAACAAAAATGAGGTGAGAACTCAAGTATCAAGTAGTGATTCAAAGAAGCTGCCAAGCAAGCCGGAATCGCCACAGACACGTGACAACATTAAAGACTCTGAGAAGGAGCAACTTCAAAGCGAGCTCTCAACCAAGCCTTACACCTGCGAAGCCAAAAGCTGCCACTACCAGAGCATTACTAGTTGTGCTTTAATGCAGCACTACATTAAAATTCATGGTTACTCTGAGGAGAAGGTTAAACAGATGGAGGTGTTTCAGTCTCGAACATTCAAGCCTGACGGCACTGAGAATTCTGTCTTGGAGGACAATCAACCACATAGCGAGTTCCTTGTGCAGGCCACAACAAAACCTTACACCTGTGAAGCTAAATGTTGCCACTACCAGAGTGTTACTAGTCGTGCTTTAATGCAGCACTACATTAAGATTCATGCTTACTCTGAAAAAGAGGTGAAAGAGATGGAGGTGTTTCAGTCTCAAACATTCAAGCCTTTCAAGTGTCATCTTTGCTTCAAGAGCTACAGAAACAAAAAAGGATTGAGGATCCACTATATACAAATGCATCACATAAATAAAGCTGTTGTTGAGCAGATGAGCTGCTTTTTTAAAAGGAGGCTAGTTGATAAAGCATCCGTGGTGTCATCTAAGGTGAGGAACAGGAAGAAGTCTTTGAAGATGGATGATGTTAAAACCCAAAGACGTGAAAAACACCTGTGGCAACAGAAATGCCAAAAACAAGATTATCGGTTATGGAAGAGCAAACTTCATAGGAAAAATGGACAAGCTAAAGCCGAAGAGAAAAGCCAAGTCCCTTCTGAAATGGATGCTGATGTAAACCACTCAAATGTTGATGTTAGGGGAAGTCGCCGCTTGGTAGCAAAAGGGAATCTGAGCTACATTCTCACTAAATACAATAAACCCTTTCACTGCGTTCATAAAAACTGCAATGCTGCCTTCAATAATCAGAATGCCCTTGTTGGCCACCTTCAGTTGGTGCATCACTATAACCGCTCACAGTTGTGCTTCCCATGTGAACACAAAGGATGCGATAAGCAGTTTAACAACTTGTCTAGTCTTACTAAACACTACCGTAGAGAGCACAACTTTAACAAAAAGAAAATTACATCAAAAATGCTTTGCAAGTCTAAGAACATTACAAAAAGACAGATGGCTTCATCAGAGGAGCCCATACCGAGGTTCAAATGTACCTATGCTAACTGCAATGAGTCCTACCATCTCAACAGCAGCCTCTTGCGTCACACAAGTCAGTTTCACCAGAACCAGACTAGTCCAAGGCACAAAGACAGGTCGGAGTTAACAGCGCCTCCCCTTATACGCCCTCCACCGCTTGACCTCTCTCCACCCTCTACCCTCAGAATAGCTGTTGATGAAAGTTCATTTGAACCCTCTGGTAAAGACAGTAAATCTATTAACATTCCTTCTACTGTTTCCATATCAGTTCCCACCCCAACTCGGCAGCCCCTCAGACGGAAGAATGAACTCTCTGAACCACCACCTCCAGTCCCTCTTTCATTGAAGAAACTGCAGAGGAGGAACTGGACAAAGTACCTAAGACACCAAAAATCAACAAAAAAAAAAAATTTGACCTGATTGTCTTCCGAACACATGAGGAGGCTTTGCAGATGTGTCAGGACCGCTGCCTTCCTGTGGCATTCCCTTGCATGGTACAGAATTGTGACTCCGTAGTCATGAGCATGCATAGTTTGAATCGACATTATATTAGGGTTCACAAATTTAAACGCAAACAGTTGACTGACAATAAGGACAAATTATGTTACACTGCTGAAAAGTTAGAGGAGATAATACAAAAGAAATCTGCCGTGTCTGCTATACCTGATTTAACCAGAATTCCAAATGGCGTCCTCAAAATGGAGTATCAGTCTGAGCCTGCGACCCCAGGTGGGCCACCACTGCCAATGAGCCTCCATTCGATCAAAACTGAATCAAAGGGGCAGGAAGTGATCGAGTTTTCAGGTGAGCCACTCCCTGACAGAAGTTTGCTTATTGCTGCTGAGGATTTGCTCTATGGCTCCCCAAAGTCAAGAGGAGATCAAATTTGAAAAGCAGTGGACTGCAGTGGTTACTAATCCTTGTCTCAAACCTGATCCACCTCGCCGCCGCGATTGTTTCAGACGGAACTGCTCTGTTAAGGAGAATACTCAGAGAGGAGCCCCAATCTCTCGAAGCCGCAAGTTTCGCTCATCCCCTCTGAGGCACTTGATCTCTAAAGGAGAGTGTACCTCTATCCAGTGGTAAAGACAGTAAATCTATTAACATTCCTTCTACTGTTTCCATATCAGTTCCCACCCCAACTCGGCAGCCCCTCAGACGGAAGAATGAACTCTCTGAACCACCACCTCCAGTCCCTCTTTCACCGATCCCAAAGGACCCTATAACGCACAGTCTAGCCCCACAAGCTATTGACATTGGAAATTACAAACCTATGGGCTTTGAGTCGTCATTCTTGAAGTTCATTAAAGAGAAAGAGGAGGAGATCAAATTTGAAAAGCAGTGGACTGCAGTGGTTACTAATCCTTGTCTCAAACCTGATCCACCTCGCCGCCGCGATTGTTTCAGACGGAACTGCTCTGTTAAGGAGAATACTCAGAGAGGAGCCCCAATCTCTCGAAGCCGCAAGTTTCGCTCATCCCCTCTGAGGCACTTGATCTCTAAAGGAGAGTGTACCTCTATCCAGAATCTCCATCTGATTTTGGAGAGAGCTTTAGGGGGCTGTGGGGACCAAGCTATAAAACAACTTCAGTTCTTGAAGCCTGTGGTGGTTCTAGAGAGGTCAAAGTCCTTTGCCTCCATTCTCGATCTCGTACCCTCTGAAACTAAAGCATAAGCTTCTGTTGGGCGCCAAGGCAGTTAAAACTCTTGCCCACTTTTTTATTTGAGAGACTTTCATAGTATTTTTTATATCATTGATACAGTTTTGATTCTTTGCTGCCAGGGTTAGGTACCTTGAGTAAGTTGTGAATGATTATATCTGTAAATATGGTCAAATAAAAAAGAACAACAAATGACTTTGAAAATGCATATTCTGTTAACTGTTTTGTATACACATCTGACCAATCACTGTAAATGACTCCAAAGGATCCACGTTACATTGAATTGGTTTTATAGACACTAAGAAAACATATGCAGAAGTAGAATTGCAAATAAATGTATTCAAGTTACAAATTAAACCGGGACATCATTGGTTGTTTATGAGTCTTACAAAAATGTTTGGTAACCTTTGAACAGGAGACCGGCCTACATGTTGATATTCATCCTCAAATGGCAAGCCCAAAAACACTAACTATGCAGTATATGGTTTAATTCTCCCATCATACCGTGCAACTCCCTGTGGGAAAACAAAAGTCAATGTCACTTAAAGCAAATTCTCGATTATGCTTGGATTTGGGCCTTTTTGCTTCAAAGTAAGAAAAGCAGATCTGAAATACTTACCCAGTCTTCCAATGTCTTACCATCTGTACTGTTGTCCCAGAAACACGAGCTGGCAGTGTGCAAACCTGCCCCATTTTTTTGTAGTATGATACATGTCACTTGGTGAACAAACAGAAGAGAATGAATTTGGGGGAACATTACAGGTACCATACCTTTACATTTGTATTATTGTAGTTTAAATGGCCTGTTATCATACCTATGTACTTAAAAAGGCTTTCCTAATTTAGTTAGCTGGCTTAGACTTGACTCTACAATGCTTGACATCCGCTGTTTGATTATCGGTAAGAGCTGTTTCCAATGGTGCTTTCAACAGTCTGTTGTCAAAAGACCCCCATAATACTAGTGATTATTGCAAAGTATAAAATTGCTAATTTACATTTAAAAGTTTTTACTCATACAAAGTAATTGAATTGATAGTTGAAGATTGACTTCATATCTACACAGTGAGGTCATGTAGTAGATTCTTACTACTTTGATTACTGTGGTAATCTCGTCCACAACAAATGTAGTCTGTGAATAAAAATATAAGATTGCAGTATGAATGAAAAAAGTATTTCTACTACATGCATTTAGTAGAACTCACAACTCCACTACCTAGTTATTATTATAATTTCTGTGTCAATTACCTCCTCAGCAGACTGATCCTCGTCCATTGCTCGACTTTATCCAGAGTGTTTTGTAGTTTCTATGGAGACAGACCAGGGTCACTCCCTGGATAGTAAACACGGCCACAGACTCGCTGTTCTTCATTGTTTTGCCAGTATGAAAAAAATATAGTCGGGAAAATACATTTATTTATCTACATGAAGAGTTGCCTTTTACCTTTATTTTCACCTGACCTTTTCCCTTTCGTCAGCTCTCTCCTTTGGGTTGATGTACGCTTGTACTCAAAACAAGTTGCATAAACTAAGGTATTCAGGTATTGTGCTTTTTTAACGAATCACAATAAAATATTCTATTTATAAGTTATATTTACCTTTTAGTTTTTTCTTTAACTATCGCGTCTCATTTTAAGATATTGAAAAATAAAAAAGTTTGTTCGTTTTAGTACTACAAAACCACAGACTGTATGAAACCCATGTGCATAAAGGTGCCCAAAGTTAAAGAAACACATCACTCATACGTTTATATTACTAAAAGTGTCTAATGTAATTTTTATGATAACTTAATTATTTCTTTGGTGTATTTAGCCCTGACTTTTGTCCGTATCAATTTTACTGTAGTGGAATTTTTTATCTAAACATAATGTTTGATTAATCTGTATCTGTTTGTATAAATAAAACAGGAACCCGTTTTGTTGTGCTGTTGTGTCCGATCGAACACAGTTTCTAGTTACACCCTATTTCCCATGAATGGGAAAGGAAGTGATAGAGCATGAGTTATCGTTGTTTGTGCATCCCTGCATGTAGTTTTTCAATATATGGACTTAACACATACACATTCTTGTAAGGTTCAAGTCTCGTATTGGGTCGGAATAGGTACGAAGATTATCTGTTGTCTTGAATGACTATCAGACAGCGGAATTACTGGAAATCCCGGAGCTAATTAAAGGTTCCAACCAATAGTTAACTACCAAGCCGTAATAATGCTGCAGGAAATTCTCGCATCACCAGTTGAAGACAAAATCTTTTACGCTGTCCTGGTTTTCTCATGGACGGTGTATATTTGGGAGGCCTATCTCGCATGTAGACAGGTGAGTATATGCTTATTGCTTATCTTGGTTGTGTTTTCGGAAAACATTAAAAGGCGGACACTTTATGCCTTTATGATGTTCTATTCTAATTTGTAGACTTTGTTAAAATCCAAATTAATCTCATCTTAGAGCTTTGTGCAAATGCATTGTGATGTACTGAAATGATGAACTACTCTGGACCCTGTATAAACCAACACACGTTTTGCCTTTCACAGAGGAAGATCTACAGGACTACAATGCATGTGCCCACTGAGCTGGGCAAGATAATGGATTCAGAGACCTTTGAAAAGTCTCGCCTCTATCAGTTGGACAAGAGCAACTTTGGCTTCTGGTCTGGACTCTACTCTGAGGCAGAGGGCACGGTGAGCTTCATGTCAATTTCGAAGTTTTAAATTAAAACAGCCTCGTAAATAGTAAAGTGATTGTTTATTTAATTATTTTTTTGTTTATAATTTCTCTCTCTTTTTTTTTTTGATTGATAGTTATTGTTTTTTAACCAAGTATAAGGCAGATAACTTAACATCTGTAGGTTTCAGTTGCAAGTTTCTCATGAGTCCTCTGGGAGGGAAAAAATGCACCTTATGGTTTCGTTCTAATTAAGCCTGCAACTGTTTTCTTTTTCCTTTTTAATGAACTTCATTCAAGATTCTTTTTTTTTTTTTCACTTGCATTTGGGTCTTTCTCTTTGAGCATGTTTAATTTATTTCTGTTTTCTAGCTGATTTTGCTCCTGGGAGGAATCCCATTCCTCTGGAAAGTGTCAGGGATTCTCACAGCTCGTTTTGGTTTTGGTCCAGAGTACGAGGTAGGTATATTCTCTGGAACCTTTTTTTTTGTGGAAAATAGTTTTGTTTTTTGTTTTTTTTTGACAATATTTGTAGAATTTGTTCTCATTATGTGTGAATTTTGGTCAGCAAAATTGATCCTGATTTTGATTCTTGATCCTTTTGTTCTCAAATGTCAGTATGCTTTTACTCATGTTTATATGGTGAACTTCAGCTGAATTAGACTGTGAAACTGAAGGCTGGAATACACCACAGATTTGTGAACAAATATTAAGATATTAGGTATGATATGCTTTTCGATTTTGTAAATGGTGACAGAAAAATCTGGGCATCACACACATTAAACAACTGAGAGTCACACACTACCAGACTTTTAAGTTGTTCTGAACACAACAGACTCCTGCAGAAACATGTGACATGTTGCTAGCAGATGCATGGCAAAAAAAATAAACAATATGTGTTCTAATCTAAAACTGGCTCAAAATATCAAACATGTATGATATTCTCCAGCTGGATGGAATCATAGTTTGGAGCTAAAAAAAAGTCTGTGCCCGTCATACAATACAGTTTTCTGTCTGGCCAAAATCTGATTTTCGGTAGATAGCGTTGGCTTCTCCAGCCTGCAGAAATCTACGTCAAAGTTGTGTAATATGTGTTTGGAAGCAGTAGATATTGTCATGTTATCACGTGACCTCCTCATGTAGCTTGTTAATGGTGTCCTGTTAACATCTTGAAAAGTTGGTTGTTTTAATTTTTAAGGATATTTAATGTGAAAATGTCTTGCTTTTTCCAAACAAATTATTAGTAAAAATTAAAAATAAATTGTTTACTGTGCATACTATATACTACATAATTAAAATGAATTTTATACTACTATGCTATTCTGAACACATCCAAAAGGCACTGCATTATTTAAAATTGTCGTCTTTATTTCAGATCTCACAATCTTTGGTGTTCCTGATGTTGGCAACTCTTTTCAGTGCTTTTACTGGCCTTCCCTGGAGCCTCTACAACACATTTGTTATTGAGGAGAAGCATGGATTCAACCAGCAGGTAGATAAAGTCTTGCGCATGAGTCATATCTATCTCTCTGTCATAGCAGGAATAAAGCTAACTAAATAAAATATACTGAAATGACTCTTCTGTCCCTTGTTTATAGACAGTGGGTTTCTTCCTGAAAGACGCTCTCAAGAAGTTTGCTGTGACTCAGTGTATTTTGTTGCCAGTGACATCATTGCTCCTCTACATCATCAAGATCGGTGGTGATTACTTCTTCATCTATGCCTGGCTCTTCACACTCATCGTCTCTTTGGTCAGTTTTCCTGGATTTTGATGAATGTGTTGTCTATGAGAAAAAGAAAAAGTGAATTTGTTCTGTCCCTCCCATTTTGCTCTACAGATTCTGGTGACTATCTATGCAGACTACATCGCCCCACTGTTTGATAAATTCACTCCACTGCCAGATGGAGAGCTGAATAGTGAGATTGAGAGCATGGCAAAGTCCATCTGCTTCCCCCTCACCAAGATCTATGTAGTGGAAGGTACAGCATGCCGTAATCATCTTTGCATTTTTATTACTTTCTATAGAACTCTAATCGTACATTAATATAATCTCCCTTCCCCTAATATATGTGTGCTCTCTTTTCTAGGTTCAAAGAGATCTTCCCACAGTAATGCCTACTTCTATGGTTTCTTCAAAAACAAGCGCATTGTGCTATTTGACACGCTTTTGGAGGATTACTCCCCTTTAAATAAACCCGGAGAGAAAGAGCCAGGAACGGGAGAGGAGAACGAAGCGGTGGGCAATGAGAGCAAGACCAAACCAAAGGTCAGAGCCAGATCAGTAACAAATTAGATTAAAGGCTGCTGTTGTTGTTGTTTTTTACATTTTTGTCTGTATTCAGAACAAGAAACAGGGCTGCAGTAACCCTGAGGTTCTGGCAGTTCTTGGACATGAACTGGGACATTGGAAACTAGGCCATACAGTCAAGAACATTGTCATTAGCCAGGTGAGTTGCTTGCTGTGCGGCTGTGCTTTACAGCTTCAACTCCAGTGTTATAGATTCCTAAAATTACATTTGGCATTTTTTTCCTTCCTATTTTTTCCTTCCTATTTTTTCCCCCTTCCTATCAGTTGTTTTTGTCACTGCACATTTCTGCAATGTTGTTTTCCCCAGTTGTGAAAGTAGAATCTTATTAGGTTGAACAGTAGCTGATGAAAACATAAGACACCATAAGCAAACAATTTTAAGAGCGTATGAACAGAGGACCATAATTTGAGGATGTTAATGACTCCCTGTTTCTTTACAGATGAACTCCTTCCTGTGCTTCTTCCTTTTTGCTGTCCTGATTGGACGAAAAGAGCTCTTCATGGCATTTGGTTTTCATGACACCCAACCGACTCTTATCGGGCTAATGATCATCTTTCAGTTTATCTTCTCACCTTACAATGAGGTAACACTTGCATTTCTCTCCTTCTTTCTCTCTGAAAAATACATGGGGATTTGTTTGCCAACTATGCACATTCTGTGTAATATTTTTGCTTAGAAATACATGTAGGACATTACAGTACATTTGTGAAAGACATGGTCATTTTCTGGGTAATCAAGTTGTGTATACAAGGTGTCCTATAGCCATACTAGACTGACTCTAGGGCATTAGCATTTATTAAAAGACAAAGAGCCACCAAAATGCCAATACTGTAGCACTAACTTGTCTGTAAAACGTGTTTTTGGCCTGCCCGATTTTTATTGTTATGAGACAATGATTTTTAGAACTTATTTTATAAGATGGACCCAGAAAAAAATACTTTCACAGTATTTATCACAAGTACATTTTAAACAATTTATAAAGTTTAATTTGATAAAATATTTGTACTTATGGTATTATTTGTTCAATTTGCCATGTAATAGAGCCTGGGGAGCTGATATGGCAATAAATTTAAAGAAATCTAAATACAACCATTTTCTGGGTATTCAGATTTATCTTATCCAATTCACCTTCTTTTTCCCACTTCAGTTGCTGTCATTCTGTTTGACGGTGTTGAGCCGAAGGTTTGAGTTTCAGGCAGATGCATTCGCGCGCAGTATGGGCCGATCGTCTGAGCTGTACTCTGCTCTCATCAAGCTCAATAAGGACAACCTAGGCTTCCCTGTAGCAGATTGGCTCTTCTCTATGTGGCATTACTCCCATCCTCCCCTGCTAGAGCGGCTCAGA